CAAAACAAATGCCCACATTAGCCATGTCCAGAAATGGATGTTTCTTCTTTTAAAAGTTCATCACATCTCTGTCAAGTGAGTGGTATATATTATCTCCATTCTTTTCAACTCTTAAATTATCATAGTACTGATCAGTTAAAGTCTTTCAGAGTTGTATAACATCACTGGATAAATTGATCTAGGTGTCTCTTTGCTCTCCATCAATTCATAAAAATCCTTCTAGTTTCTTCTGATATTGTCTAGTTCATCATTTCTTATGAAGCAGTAATATTTTATCACGTTCATATACCATATTTTCTTTAACCATTCCCAGTTGGCTTCCAATTTTCGGTTACCTCAAAAAATACTCTTTTATTTTTGTACATATAGATCCTTTTCTTTGTTTTGGGTGTAGAGGCCTAATAGTACAACAAGTAGATCAGCACAATATAATAATTTTCTGGTCATAGCTCCAGATTGTATTTCAGAATTGCTTTACCAATTCAAAGCTCCACCAATATTGTATTAATGTACCAGTATTTTCAGTCCCTTCAGCATTTGTCATATTTTGTTTTTGTCTTCTTTTCCAATCTGGTATGCATGAAATAGAACTTTAAAATAGTTTTAATTTGCACTTATGTAATTATTAGTGACATAGAGGGGGCCATCTCCAGTCATCCTGATCTATATATTGCCACTGGACCCAGCTGGCTCCTAAGGAGAAAGTGAGGCTGGTGACTTTGCACAACCCTCCCTCACTTAAATCCAATTTGCTTGCAAGTCATGACATCACTTTCCTGATGACATAGTCCTCTTTGAGAATGAAGGACAAACAACAAAACAACAATAGTGACATAGAGCATTTTTTCATGTGAGTGTTTGTTACTTGGATTTCTTCCTTTGAAAATGTTTTGACCATTTATCTATTGGAGAATGGCTGTCTTATAAATTTGAGTCCACCTGCCATTTCTCCTTCTTTTGTTGTTTCATTGGCAATTAATTTACTCAGTTTGCTTTTGTTCATATTGCATTTTAAGCATTTAAAAAAGACATAATTGATGTAGGCTATCTCCCACAAGAATAAATTTATCAATGGCAGGGACAGTTCTTAAGTCTAAACCAAGCCTGGATTCTTAACAATAATAACATTGGCTAGCATGTATATGATGCCTATTATGTGCCAGGCACTGTGATAAGCACTTCCGAAATATCACCTCATCTGATCCTCACACCAACCCTGAAAGGTAGGTGTCATTATTATCCCCATTTTACAGTTTAGGAAATTGAGGCAGAGGCAAAATGACTTGCCCAGGGTAACATAGCTAGTTAGTGTCTGAGGACATATTTGAATTCAGATCTTCTTGACTCCTAGACCGGTATTTAATCCACTACGCCCCCTAATTGTCTTTACATCTTCTAGATCACTCTTCAGTATTTCCTGAGCTGAGGCATTGTAAGACTTTTAATGCACTCTGAATCATCAGAAATGTTCAAGTTATTCAGAGTACATAGTTTATTTTCACTGGATTGTGATTACTCCACTTCATAACTATTTACTGTGTGCCTTCTTCTTCCATATTAATCTTAGATATTCAAAAGGTAAATAGTACTCACATGATACAGAGTGCCAGTCTTAAACAAAGAAAAACCTGAGTTTAATTCCTATCTGTGATACATGCTAGCTTTGCTACTAGCAAGTCACCAAACCTCTAGCTAGCAACACTCTAGACTCCAAATTGCAGATGGTTTGCTGATTTGAGTGGGCAGTTTTTGCATTGACTAAATCACAGTTCTGGAATTACTCAACATCCCCCCCCCAAAAAAAAAAGAAAAACAAAGTTAACAATTTTAAAAATTGCTTGAATTGCTAATTTAGAATATTTGGATTATGCAACCAGAATTCCTCCTACCTGAATATTTTGCTTTCTAGAATTTTTCTTCTCCCCTTGTGCATGCAGTTGAAATCTAATCTTATTCATTATTCATATACTTGAGTCATCTGCATACACATATCAAAAAATCAGCACAGTCGATGTCTGAATGATCAATAATTTAGACTATGTGCCTTTTGACACTTGGTTTATTTAACAATATTTGGAGAAATAGAGATGGTTGGGGGGAAAAAAAGCAGGTGGTGGGTAAGACCATTTACTGGCTTAAACTATTACATTACAGATTTAGAGCTGGAAGGGATTTTAGAGGATGACTCCAATTACCTCATTTGAGAGATGAGGAAACTCAACGTCAGAGGGGACCACACAAGTAGTGTCACAGGCAGAATTTGAACCTGTATGTTTGACGTCATAAAAAGAACCCTGTCCACTGTACCACACTGCCTCTCTAAAGAAAAACTTTCAAAAGAAAGAGGAAAAAAATTGTACAGTGTCCATTTCAAAAGTGATTTAAAAGATATGAATGTGCAAAATTTGCCTATGCCCACAACAGTCATCAATGATGAATACATGAAGATAAAACAAGTAGGCTTTCATCAGTTTCACAGCAGATAATATCTTTAGTTACAAAGAGGTATAAAGAGAATAAGATAATGTTTGTTGGTTTTTAAATGATAAATATTTGGCTCATAAGATAATACAACTTTAATGGCTCTCTAAGAACAAGTTATTTTCCCTGTATTAGTTAAAATGATACAATATTCTGTGATAGATGCAAGCAGGCTGATAATTTTGTGCAATGATCCAAGTATCAAAATCAATCAAGGCATAAAAGGAAAGACATGCTCACCTTCCCTAGTATCATGAAGGATATCCTGGAAAAGAATTCAGATAGGAAGATCTGTGAGTCTCCAAATATCAGTTTTGTGGTGAAAATGTACTAACTTTATAGAGTCCCAGAACACTAGAAAGCATCACACTGGAAACAAAAAGTGAATGAAAAACTTTTGGACTGGATCTTGACATGCAGTGGACAGAAAGTCCATTGAGTTAGCTTATCAATACATAACAATGAAGACTCACATCTATACAGTGCTTTAGAATTTATCAAATACTTTTGTAACAATAAGCCTATGGTAAGTAGTTCAAGTATTAATATTTCTATTTTATAGATGTGGAAACGAAAACTAACAAATTAGGTGACTTGCCCACATAGCTTGTTCTCAACCAACCAACAAGCCATCATTAAATACTTCCTGTGTGCCCAGCATTGGGGAAGTGACAAAAACTAGTCTCTTTTCTCCAGTAACTTACTTTCAGAAGGAGGAAAAATCAAACATAAAAATAGATACAAAACATATACTAAATAAATTCCAGGATATTTATAGAGGTGCAGCAGGGGAGGGGGAGAGAAGACCACTAGCAAACTGGGGAGATCATAAGGTCATAGATTTCAGAGCTGGAAATCAAGTTCAACTCTCTCATTTTGTGGATCAGGTGTCCCATAGAGATAAAATGACCTGCCCAGGGTAGGACAGCTAATAAATGTCTGAGACATGATTTAAATCCAGTTTTTGATTCCAGGGCTAGGGCTCTGACACCACATTTCCTTTTCAGGAAGGCCTTATGGAGACTGTACTTCAATTGAACTTTGAGGGAAACAATTGATTTTGAAAAAAAATTGTTTTTTACTATTATGAATTTAACAATAAACATAAATTTCTCTTTATAAAAAGAACAGAAAGAGGATTGTGTATCCACTGTGAATCTCTCATATGTAGCTTTTGCACATATATGTTAAAGATAATGAGGTAATCCCAATACTGCCATTTCTGAACTTCCTTGTACTCTTCCGAGCCTTAAAGGTAACAAAGGCATGAGCTAGGATTGTAGCTGTTGAGAGAGGGTGATATAGACGTATATTGACATCTATATAGCTCCACTGGATTTTATTATTATCTCTCAGCTGCTTATTATCTGATACACACATAAACTAATATTGTAGCTGTTGAGAAGATACATATACATGCATACACACAGACATACATACACATATACATACATACATACATGCACCTACATATCACCAGGAGCATGAAAAGAGAAAATAGAGGGTCTGGGGGAGAGGAAGGGAGAGTACAACTAGTTAGGGACACCATCTTGATAACATACTAGCAAAGCAGCCTGAAGAGTTACATAGGTAGGAAAAACAAACCAGAATAATGTCATAAAGGCTCAAAGAGAAAAGGGTATCTAGGAAAAGAGTTTGGTCAATAGCATCGAATGCAATAGATACTTCAAGAAACATGAGAAGTGTGGGGGGGGGAAAGCATCAGATCTAGCAAGTAAAGGATTATTGGTCACTTTGAAGAGAGGAGTTTCAATTAAGTGTTGAGGTTGAAACTTGTAAATGTTCATCCATCTTAGAATGATAGGATTCAAATCAAATGCTTTTATAGAGAAGTTGAGGTATGCATCTCAAAAAAAAGTGATTTATTATGCCTGATAATACTACTAGGAGGTGGAAAACAACATTGCAGATGAAAGCTTGTGTATTTAGTTTAGCCTGATTTATAAGTTCCATTAAAAAGAGGCTAATGATTAAAAGGGGAAAAATGCTAATGTGATGATGTGTGTCTTCTTTATTCTTGCTGGAAAAGAACCAACTTCTCAATTTAACAAGTTTGTCTGCTTCCTAAAGTTCTCACTCACCAATGCAAATGCCAGCTAATTTTCACAGCAGGGAACAGCACTGGGGAAATTCAAAAGTTATTCTTTTGCAATGACACTGACATGGAAGTTTAATAGGAAAGGTGTAGAAGTCATGCTTTATTCCTTAACGAGAGGTTATTCCACATGAAAGTGCTGGTTGAGCTCAATTCATTTCACTTCGGGAAACTAAGACTTGTAAAAGACATAAATTTCTGATGCTCTGTACAAGGAAAACAAGAAATAAAATTTAAAAAAATCAAGGAGCAAACTGCAGGTCTAAATAATGAATGAATTCTCAGAGGGTTGGACATGTTTTATAGTAGATTAAAAAAAGATTCATAAAAATAGTGTTTGAAACACCTAGTGCACTGCAATATATTCAGAATTAAAACTAATACATGGAATCAACAAACTGGATTGTAAAATTTTAAAAATCTTAAATTTATTAGGCTTTATTAGTAACACAGAATTACACAGAATAAAGTTCAGGTTCTCATCAGTGATGGCTCACCAATGTATCTTGTTTTATTTTTTTTCTTTCAACCATAATTCTTATGATGAAAATTTCTTCATAGTATAATTTCACTTTCTTCTCACCTTCATGCTGTGAACATATGTAGCAGTTCTTCCATCAATAAATTCAATGAAAAACATTTTTCAGAAAAGGCACATAAAGAATTTAGACCAACAAAGTTAGAAAATTTTGATAACTTCCAATTATTTTTTTTTTAAAAAAGCTCTTATAATTGAGACTGACATAAATGCAAAGTCACATGTAAGTACTTTTAAGAACACAGACACACAAACTGATGGATGCCAACTGACAGAGTAAAATCAAACATGAGCTAAACACCATGTAACTTGCTTACGAGCAAACAACTAAAATAGCAATATTTCTGGGATAAGCAGAAGCCCCTTTGTATTTTTTTGCTGGAAATGGTTTAAACAGCTACATAGGGAGACACGCCCAAGCAATGGGAAAGTAATGATTTTTATCAAAGTGCAACATCTTAGTGACATGTAACACTAATGAGTACAGACTATTATTTACTTCTAATAAGCATCAGTCCTTATACTTTGAAAACATAATTGTTCATGTTTAAAAGAAGTGAAAAATTTTTTTAAAATGAGATAAAACAGACCTTAGACACTTGAAAGCAATATGAATACTCTAAAAGAAAAAAGGGGCAATTTCAGCATAGCAGGATAATAAAATCTGAATCTAGTTATATAGCTAAACTTAAAGCTTGTGCTGAATCAGTAGTAGACTATTCAAACTATCATGTATGCTAGGTACAAGGAGTTTCCCAAAGGAAATACACAAATGAATGTCTCTAAATTTATTACACTCACATTTTAGCCCACAAAAATGCTCTCAACATCCACCTCAACTTACTTATAAATAAAAGCTTATTCATTTAAAATGTATAAAAATTAATCTTGGCACCACCATTAAGGCAATGCATATATATCAATCACATAGTAAATTTAAGAGTGAAAACTTAAGTTAAACGAATAAAAATTAGGTATAACAATAAATGTGAGGCTGTCTACAACATATCAAAAAATTGGAAATGCATCTTAGTTTTGCAACTGAAACTTAAAAGAGAATAAGGCAGCATGCACCTTTATAAAGAAAAGAAATCAAAACATACAAGATTTTTTTAAATAATCAATCCAAAGGCAAGTATATTCATCCTCTTTTAAGAGCATTTCAATAAAACAACAAATTTAGAGGACAAACCAAGTTATTAAAATATTTTGTTCAATATTTGTACAAATAACATTCCTACAATTACAAGTATACGTATAATCAAGGTAGTTTTTTCAATGTTTCTTAATATTACTGTACTTAAAAATTTACAAGACATGAACATAAATAAAGCTGTTTGAAACTGGCAAATACAGTACTGGTCTATCATTCAGCACAAGTCATTCTGTATCTGTCACCTTGAAAACCATCAGGTTAGAATTTTATGAAGCCATTCTTCAAACCTAAAGATCAATAATTAAACTTATAAATATAGGTATGCACAGAATAATTTCCATATTTGCAAATATGCAAACATCATACACTGGAGCCTCGCTATAACTTTGTCCTAGGTTCCATGCTTGAGGACTCTGTTATAGGTTTAACAGTGTTACAACAAGGTCCTTCTGATATTTCCAGTGGGGGATGGGGAGAGACAATCTTCAAATGAAGTCCCTGATGGACCTGCCTTGTGAATTTCATGCTACAGCTGGTCATACTATAGTGAGGCTCCTGTGTATACAGCTCCAAATTTAATTACATTTGGCTTAAGAAACTTGATTTACCATTAAACTTAAAAATCTTAGAAGAGGCCACAATCCTTTAGATTATTTTTTATGATGACATCTGTTACGGCATCAAACACAAACTGAACATTCTTAGTATCTGTGGCACACGTGAAGTGGGTGTATATCTCCTTTGTGTCCTTTCTTTTGTTGAGGTCTTCAAATTGACACTGAATATATGCTGCTGCTTCTTCATATGTGTTTGAACCTTAAAAAAGAAACAGGGCAAAACAAAAAAAAATAAATTTAAAGTTGTAAAAAAAGTGTACTGTTCAGTAAAGCAAATCCATGGCAAAAATTTTCAAGCTGGAAAATGGGGCATAAAATCAAATTTCATCTGTATGAGGAATGCCTTTCTGTAAATTCCTTCTCATGACGCCAACTGGCAACGCATCTGCTACTTTTGTTCTTTGAGATTTGCTTGAGACATGTGGAGGCTACGTGACTTACCCACAGTCACATAACCAGTGTATGCGTCTAAGACAGAAGTTGAAATTACTTAGGTCATCCACACCAAAGGGTAGGCACTATTATTCACTACAACTTACCACGTAAACGTGATTTTTTCTTTTCTGTTTTTTTTAATGTTCATTAAAAAAATAAATTCCAAGTTTACTCCCTCTTAGCCCCTCCCTTACCCATTGAGAAGACAAGTAATATGATATCAATTATACATATGAAGTCATGCAAACCGTATTTCATATTTGCCATATTGAAAAAAAAAGCAAGAAGAAAAAATAAAGTGAATACTTCAATCTGCACTCATAGTTCATTAGTTCTCTCTCTGGAAGTGGATAGCATTTTTTATCATGAGACTCCTGGAATGAATCATCTTGGATCACTGGAATGATTAGAGTAGCTATTCTTACATAGTTGATAATCATTACAATATTACTGTTACTAGAGACAATATGTTCTACTGGCTCTGATCACTTCACTTTGCATCCATTCATATAAATCTTCCCAGGTTTTTCTGAAATCATCCTCCTCCTCATTTTTTATAACACCATAATATTCCATTACTACAACTAACCTGATTTAAAAAAAAATTATTGAAATACATTTTTCCCACAAACCAACATTTACTCCTCCTTATCATTATTATTAACTAAATCTCATAAAGCATTTCTTACATATATTCTCTCATTTGGTTCTAAATTGCCCTATGAGATCAGTAAGGCAATTAACATCCTATCCTGTAGTGCAGGAAACTGAAACAAGGTTATTGAGTATGTTCGTGTATGTGTTGGACACAGTAAAATTTGAAATGATCAGACCTTTTTTTTTTTTGCAATTGCAAGGAAGATAGGTTGCAGTGGTGAATACTGAGTCAGGGAGACTAATTAGAAGACTAGCATAATAGTCCAGGTGAGAGGTGATAAGAGACTCAGTTAAGGGGGTAGCTGTGAGTAGAGAGAAGTGACATATTCTAGATGTATTCTGAAGGTAGAAATGACAAGGGCTGGCAATGGACTGCATATATGGAGTATGTGAGTAGTTAAGGCTGACACTATGACTATAAGCCTAAATAATTGGGAAGACAGTAGTAACTCTCAAAAGTAATAGGGAAACTGGGAAGAGAAAAGCATATGAGGGGAAATTATGAGTTCTATTTTGAACGTGTTAAGTTTGAGATGCCTACAAACATCAAAACTGAGATGTCTAAAAGGTAGCTGGTGATATAGGACTGTGGATCAGGCAAGAGACTAGACCTGGATACAGAGAGATGGTAGTCATCTGTATGGAGTTTATCATCGAATTCATGAGAATTAATGAGGTCACTAAGTAAGCTGGTATTGAGGAAAAATAGAAGAGGAGCCCAAGACAAAAATTATACTAACAGGAAGAACTGAAGACCTTTCTGAAAAAGGACAATCCCATTGCTATCTATGATAATAATGAGTGATATTTAATACACCTTATTTTATGACTTAAAAACATAAAACAGGGGCAGCTAGGTGGTGCAGTGGATAGAGCACTGGCCTTGAAGTCAGGAGAACATGAGTTCAAATGTGACCTCAGATTAAATACTTGACACTTACTAGCTGTGTGACCCTGGTCAAGTCACTTAACCCCAACTGCCTAAAAAAATAAATAAATAAATAAATAAAAACAGAAAACAGAAAATTCTTCTAGCAATTTAATTTGCCTGCCATTTTAGACCTTTCTTTTACTATGCCCAAACACATGTTCTGTTTCAACTACTCACTATGGACTGTATACCTCCAGTACTTTCTCTGTACCATTGCTTAAAGCATATTCAAATTTTATCCACCTTTTCAAGATCATTTTAAAAATAGCATCTTGTCAATTAAGCCTTCCTAGATTCCCAGGGGAATTTCTATTTCAAAATGGCTTTTTGTTCTTGTGATTTTGCCACTGCATTCTAAAAACTCACTTTGCATCAGAAGGAACAAGGAAGACCTGAATTAAAGGACATACTCTTATAGATTCTATTTGTGTAGCCCCTAGCTAGACTCTTAACTTCTCAATCAGTGCCCTGGGGTAACAGTGTAGGGCTATAAGTGGTTCCTTGGCTAGACTAATCTACAGTAGGGGTGCAATCATAGCTCTAGTCCAAAAATAAAAAAAAAACAAACCATAAAAACTAATGGTTTAAATCATGAGGATGGACAGCTCCCTCCAATGCAGATCTGCAAGTATTATGCACTAAGCAACATGGACTTTCTTCCATTACTTAGTAATGTTGGTCTTCTCTAAATGTATTAAAAGTAAGAGTTCTGCAACAACAATATCATAAAAGTATGAATTTCCATTGAGAAAGTTTTCAGCTATACATAAAGAATAAGTGACGTGTTAAGTTTCCCAAAGAAAGTGAAATACCTGCATATTCAGGATAGCAGATAGTGAGAGGACTCCTTTTAATTTTTTCTTCAAAGAGATCCTTCTTGTTTAGAAAAAGAATAATAGATGTGTCTGTAAACCACTTGTTGTTGCAGATGCTGTCGAACAATTTCATACTTTCATGCATTCGATTCTATTGTAAAAATAGTATAAATGCCATTATATCAAGAGTAACAATATTTTTTATAAATGAAATAGTTTGTAATGAAGTAGAGCTAATTACTACCAACTTGAAACTACCTCTTCTCATTATTAATTTGACATGAAAGTAATGAAAATTCTTATGTTAAAACTGAAAATGCTCAAGTTATAGTTTTACTTGTACCATAGCATATTTTATAAAATTACAGTCGGGTAGGTTAAATATGATAATAAAACAAACCTTCCTGAGCTCTATAATTTGCACAAGGTAGCTCTATAATGTCCCATGTAGCACTGAAAAAATTTACTGCCCTTCTATTCTTTACCTCTTTCCTAAATTTCTCCTTCTTCCTCCCAAAAAAGCCTCTGTGTTGGCTTTAGGGGAAATGTGCATCTTCCCCATATTTTAATATGATCAAAGAAAATTTTTATATATAACAACATATTGCTAAAATGTACTGACTGCGGTACTACTGTAAGTAAAAGATTGGGAAATGCAATTTTTGGTCTAAGAAGAGTCACATCTTAATTCACTGACATCTTTTGTACCACAGGTCTGATGTGCTTATAGATATGAATGCAGAACTTTTTGTCTTCTTAGGTTCCTCTCTAGTTAGGGAGTGGGAGAAGGGAGGGAAGGAACTAGAGGTTTTTCCGCCTGTGGGAGTTGTGGGTCTGTCTGGCATGCAGGAACTCATCATGTTGGATCACTAGAGATATTTAACTTGTTTAAACTATGCCACTTAACGAATCTACTAAACTAAACTAAAGAATCTACTAAAGATCTTCTAGCAAGATCTCTTAATGCCGATGTTTCAGTCATTGATCAAAACAAAACTTTATTTTTTAAACCATATTGGTAAAACCACAATACTATTTACTTTGATATTCAGTTCTGAAAAAGTGATTATACTTGCCATTTCTTCATCTTCAGCCAAAACCAGGTCATAGTCACTAAGTGCTACACAAAATATGATAGCAGTTACTCCTTCAAAGCAATGGATCCACTTCTTCCTTTCAGATCTTTGTCCTCCCACATCGAACATCCTATAACAGGAAAAGCAGTTTGTTGACATGGTTTCAAAACATTCAGCAGTCTTGGGAATGCTGAACAAAATAGCTACGAGGCATCTTAATAAGGATGTAAAAGTAAAAAAATTGTGCAACATTTTAATGTTTTAAAAGGCTGAAATTATATCATGGTGGGGTAGGAGAAATGAGGAAGGCAAAAAAAACTTCAAAAAAATGCTTAAAAATTAAGTGCACTCATTTAAGAATTAGTGAACTCCTATTAATGGCACAGTACTATCATAAAATAACACAGACAATCCACGTTCAAGAAGACCTTATAAACTAATTGAGTAGACAATGCATATCTCAAAAAAATTAGAAAGAAACACACAAAATTGTACAGATGGATACAACACAAACTACCCATAGTTCAAAAAGCCTTGGATGGTATGAAACACTTATATAACAGAAAGATAAACACCTGACCAAGTTCACACCATCAATTAGCAGACCTGTCTACAACCAGAAAGAGGCCAGGCCTCTTTCCTTGCTATGTCAGAGTATAGAGGATACACTCTTTTCATGAAGTAGGTGATTTTAGGTTAGGGCTCTGAAGAAAGGAGGTTTATGATAAAGAGACAGGAGAAATGACATTAAGTTTAAGAACAGTAAAGTTAAATTAAGTTGTCAGGACAGTTCAATAGGCAGGCAGAGATAAAGAATGAATAGCATATTATAGGAAGACATGGTGGATCGTAGTGGCTCAGGATGCACACAGGAAGACCCTATTATACTATTGACTTTATAGAATTAGGAAGAGAGAATTAATGAAGTATTTATATAGGCTAATGTGGGTTTCTCAACAAGGCAACGACATGAATATTATATTAGAAAAATACTTATTTTCCTTTTTTTTCCCCCCTTATGTACTTAGGTACTTTTAATGATAAGCACTAAACTGAAATGAGTATAGGAAATACTGCATAACAACTGTTTATGTAATAACATTACATAAACTGGTATAGTTTAAAAAATTAATTCATATAGATGCTGCTCTAATTAAAGTAGGCATTATTTAATTGTCATATATAAGAATTTTCCCTGTGGAGCAGTATTAGATAACAGTCTGAAACTCCAGCCATAGAGCACTGGTGTCCCAATTTTTCCAAATCTCTTCCAGCATTTGTCATTTTCCTTTTCTGTCAGGTTAGCCAATCTGATAAGGTATGAGGTGGTATCTCAGAGTTGTTTTAATTTTCATTTCTCTAATCAGTAGTGGTTTAGACCAGTTTTACATGACTATTGATAGCTCTGATTTCTTTTTCTGAAAAATTCCTGTTCATATCTTTTAATCATTAATTAATTGAGGAATGGCTTGTATTCCCATTCACTTTTACAGATGATAAAAATGAAACTTAAAGATATCAAATAACTACCAACGAATAATAAATCAGTATGCCACATAAAAAAGTGATGAAATTTATTACTCCATTTTAATTTAACAAAACAAAAAAAAAATTAAGAGTAAGCAAGAAGCAGGTGGTGATAACAATAACAATAGATAGCATTCATATAGTACTTTAAGGTTTGCAAAATGCTTTACAAATATTATATCATTTTATCTTCACAACAACCCTGGGAGATAGGTGCTATTTTTACACCCATTTTACAGATGAGGAAACTGAAGCAGAGGTTAAGTGACTTGCTCATGATCACATAGTTTTAAGTGTCTATAGATGAATATGAAATTGGGTCTTCCTGACTCCAGGTCCAATGCTCTATACATTTCTCTACCTAGCTACCTCTATTTAGATCAGACAGGCAAAAACCCAAATGTGTAAATATACATTCATATTTATATATACATGCATAAATATCCATTTGCTCAATTTCCTAAGAAAAAAAATAGCAACAAAAACTTTTACAAAAAATTTACTGAAATCCAAATAATTGCAAATAAGATTTACTTTAGCAATTGAATACAGGTAGTTCTGCAAAGACTGCCAACAAACACTCTTAAAACATCTAGCAATAAAAGACCTACATTGTTGCTATGTTTAAATTTGAACTACCAATTAGCATATTGTATAGTATTTTAAATGTACAATGTAAAATAATTCCATGCTTCATTAGAGCCTCAACTTGGTAATTAGAGGTAATGAGATTTTATCATGGAAGTATCTTATGTTTTTCACTAGAGATACAGGAAAAAAAAAATCTAGGACACAAATGACGTAAGTGATGTTCCTTTAGTCCATAGGTCAAGGAACACAATGATTGAGAATAGTATATTAACCTTGGCCAGAAGGTGGTAAACAATTCCATTAGTGAGAACAGTTCTAGTGAATTGCATAGGGTAAAAGCCAGCTGGCTGAGGAACAAAGGAAAACTCAAGGAAGAAAGCCTGGTTTCTTATTTCTGGATTGGCTCAGTGTGACTGCATAATAGTTTTAAGATACATCAAAGAAATCTAAAATTATATGATATAGTATGTTTTATATGACATACTATGTTTAAACATCGAAATACTTCATTTGAAAAAGACTGGCTCTTAGAGATGTACTTTCTCTAGGTCATTCATTTTCAGATTTTTTTTCCAATAGTGGTGATGAGCTGTGCTGAATCGTACCTATTTTCTCATACTCTTTATGACCAAAAGAATAAATCTGTTATATTTTGGAAAACCTTAACAAGATTTCTTGAATGGGAATAAAAAAGGCAGGTGGTTGGAGTAATCCAGAGCTGGGACTTGGCAAAGAATGATTGGGGAAAAGGCCAAGGAAGCAAAAAATTCAAATGTAGAAAATGGTTTAGAGTTGAAATGATTCACTAAGAGATTGAGTCAGGGAAGGAAGGATAATGTAGCCACCACAGAAGTACTGGCCTGAAAAAGAACAAAGGGGTAGAGAAAGTAGAAGTCAAAGCAACAATGAAGAACAGAATTAGAAGTAATGCAAAGAGAAAGGTGACCTAGATGTTCTCTTGCTATCTCCTTACTACTCCTCAGTATCAACTTCCCATTAATCATTTTTACTCTGTCATTTACATTGTAAAGGTCATTCTCCTTGACAAAATAAAATAGAAATGAAATAGCAATTGTGCTGCTCTGCTTTCTCTTTATTATCAGTTATCATTCTGCCTACTGCAAGGAGAGATCTCTTCTTTTGATTCTCTTTTTTCCTCCAATAAAATTCCTCTGTTGCTGTTGTTAGCCTCTCTCAGTTCCAGTCTTAATTCTTTCTGAGCTTTAGTATTCTTAACACTACTTTTGGGGGGATGAAACCATGCTTGGAATTTCTCCCTGTTTCTGGGTTTTGTACATTTCTTTTAAAAATCTAAGTTGCTTATTAAGTTACCTCTGCATCCACGTCAAACTCTTAAAATAAATCTCATTTTTCTTTTTCATTGGAAAAATTATTCCCTTTATAGCTTCAGAATTTCATTCTTTGACATCTCCCATCACTCTTAGCCTGACTGATGCTGAAGGACATTAGTCCATTAGGATGTGTGCAATGAAATATCCTTCCCCAAATCTAGGATGCATGTTAACCTATGCTCAATTTTCTTCTCCCTGGATGGTGCCAGGACTTCCAGCCAAGGTTTCTATTTTTTTCCCATCCCAGAAATTACTACCTCATTCACTGCATTCATAAACTTTCTTTCCAGTATGAATTCTCTGATGCAGTGTAAGTTGTATCTTAACCCTGAAGGCCTTCCTATATCTGCTACATTCATAAACATTATCTCCAGCATGAATTCTCTGACACACAGCAAGATGCTTCTTCCTCCTTGGGCCTTCCCATATCCATTACATTAGAGTGGCTTGTCTCCAGTAAATTCTCTGCTCTCTGGACAGCTGCTTCTTGGAATATCTGCCTCTGGTATCCAAGATGCTTTCATTCTTTCCAACTGGTAGATCACATCTGGTTTGGAAACTGCAAATACCAAAGAGACCAATTCTATAGTTCTCCAGCATTACATCCTGGTACAACTTTTTCTGAGATGGGCTCAATTGTGCCTACTTCTCCTGTGTGAATTCCACAGCCACATCCTTGAATGTCACTGATTCCTTTTGGAGCCCAGATGTCAATACAGGAGCCATTCCCTCTTCCTCGGTGTTCCCACCTACCGGGGCGGAGCAGGGGCTACAGAAGATAGAGCCAGGAGGAGGAGATAGGACCACAGGAAGTCTGGACCAAGGACCAGACAGACACAACAGGAGCACATTCCCTCAGACTCTTCTAAGTTCTCCTTCCTAAGAGAAAAAAATAAATCCTACACTACTTCAATCAATGAATATCATGTCTTTGCCATGAGTTTGTCTTTGATAAAGTTTAGAACACTACAGCAAAGATAATTTTACAAACAGAGAATGAAAGAATTAGCTGACTCCAGGGAATGAAGATAGACGTAACAAAAGCGTCAAATTACTTGCTATACACTCTAAGGGAAATTAAGGAGATGTTTTTATCTGGTATGTGTAATGAGAGCTCTGCCATCATTAAAAAAAAAACAGAATAAGATATGCATAGCAAAGGTCAAAATCAGGGAAAAAGTGTTGGAAAATTTGAAGAAAAATACTTAATGAGAAATAAAATTTCTGAACTCAAAGGCAAACCAGCAGAAATGGAAGATGCTGCAAAATATTGTCAAAGGACAACAACTTGATAAAAATGACTGAAAACATTACAAAGAGTACAACAGAGCCTGTTGAGATGATCTAAGAATTATAGTATTAACCTTTTTTTAAAAAATAAGAAAAGAGCTTGACCACTATTTTCCACGTTATTGTTCAAGACAATCTGTTGGCCTAGAAAATACAGATAAACTACACATCTATAGAATTCAGTCAACTTTCAAGAGAGACATTAGATACAGCTCAAACAGTTATATGCTTATAGATCAAGAGCTGGAAATGCTTCAGAAAACATCTCATTCAATTTCATCATTTAACAGATAAGGAAACTGAGGTTTAGAGAGGTTAAATAATTTTCACATGGTCTCACACATATTAAGTATCACAGTCAGGACTGGAA